GGCATGGTACCAGGAAGGAGGGGCAGGGGCTGTCCAACACGAAGATAGCAGATGATAATGTCAGTAACTCTTTGAATATGAAAGTACACGAGGCAGGAGAGCTGGCGAGAGACCATCAAGTTTCTTTCAGGCAAACCGTGATGAAAGCGACCTTAAAAAAAAAACCTGCTACATGATGATGATGATGTACATTTATGTAATGTGCTGATGAAGGCTCTTTAGCCGCAATGTTCATTTGCCATTTGTGTTTATGATAGTGTCAAGCTGACTGGTTCTACTTTTTGCTTGTTCTGATATCTTTTCATGATATTCTAGGCAGGTAACTTTCAAATATCTACCTCGATGGAGACTTGAAACTACGATATGTCAGGTGGAAGGTTTAATAGTGATATTCAGTTTGCGTTTATGACTATTCACAGTCAGCTTGAAATTCAAATTCAACATGTTTTAATGATTTAAAAAAATGTATTAACAATCAACTTGTTTCTGCGCCCCAGAATTAACTTACAACTATGTGACAAAAGTAACAATCAACTTGTTTCTGCGCCCCAGAATTAACTTACATCTATGTGACAAAAGTAACAATCAACTTGTTTCTGCGCCCCAGAATTAACTTACATCTATGTGACAAAAGTAACAATCAACTTGTTTCTGCGCCCCAGAATTAACTTACATCTATGTGACAAAAGTAACAATCAATTGTTTCTGCGCCCAGAATTAACTTACATTTATGTGACAAAAGTAACAATCAACTTGTTTCTGCGCCCCAGAATTAACTTACATCTATGTGACAAAAGTAACAATCAACTTGTTTCTGCGCCCCCAGAATTAACTTTACATCTATGTGACAAAGAGTAACAATCAACTTGTTTCTGCGCCCCAGATTAACTACATCTATGTGACAAAAAGTAAACAATCAACTTGTTTCTGCGCCCCAGAATTAACTTACATCTATGTGACAAAAGTAACAATCAACTTGTTTCTGCGCCCCAGAATTAACTTACATCTATGTGACAAAAGTAACAATCAACTTGTTTCTGCGCCCCAGAATTAACTTACATCTATGTGACAAAAGCAACAATCAACTGGCTAGAGTCTTTTTCCAATGACATAACAATGATGAAATGTATTCTGACTGTTGACCACTGCACAACAGTCACTGAAGTGATGCAATCTTTTCTCAACTCTTTTAGTCCCAACAGAACTTTGCAACAAGTTGCCCAAAAGGATCACTAATTATAATAAAACAATCCATAATTATTATGTTCAAAATGGCAGCATAAAATGCACTGGATTTAAAATATTTGGCCAGATATCTTTAGTAGGCTCAAACTAAATACAAAATATATAATTACACACCATGTCTTGTTTGATACATAAAAACAGCAGATGAGTATGCACAGTGCATTTCTAGGGATAGAAGGCGTTATGAATACATTCTCTGAAGAGCCTACAAATTATATTTCATCAAATTCTCCAGTAGACAAAGAAAATTGAGAACCCTTAAGACTGTCACTTTAACATGAAATATGCATTTACTGGCACTCACTGAAAACAAACAGAGAGAAGCTCACACCAGGTTAGACATTCGATAACAAGGTAACAGAAAAAACCCAGCATAAACACACTGGTTTCAAACCTGCCCTCCCAGATGGAGCCACTATTTCAACACAAATACACCTGTACTGTCTAGTTGTTAGATTAAATCTGTCGGCCACAAATGACACACCATGTGTATTGGATATTACTCAAGTGCACCAATCAACTCATTTTGTGCATTTGTACATCTTAAGTTAGGTCAGGCAAATTAAATCAATCCAACAATACAAGTCACCCACAGTGTGCTGTGTACTTGGACCCTAGGGATGCAATACACCCATGTGTACCAGTCAACATGCTGCGTATATCTGTACATCTTAAGTCAGGCAAACTAAATCAATCCAACAATACAAGTCACCCACAGTTTGCTGTGTACCTGGACCCTAGGGATGCAATACACCCATGTGTACCAGTCAACATGCTGTGTATATCTGTACATCTTAAGTCAGGCAAACTAAATCAATCCAACAATACAAGTCACCCACAGTGTGCTGTGTACCTGGACCCTAGGGATGCAATATACCTAGGTGTACCAGTCAGCATGGTTTGTATATTTGTACATCTTATTTCAGGCAAACCGAACAGTTCAAGTCACCCACAGTGCTGTGTACCTGGACCCTAGGGATGCAATATACCTAGGTGTACCAGTCAACATGGTTTGTATATTTGTACATCTTATTTCAGGCAAACCGAACAGTTCAAGTCACCCACAGTGTGCTGTGTATTTGGACCATAGGGATGCAATACACCCATACTTTTGTTGCCATCATTACTGCTTCAGTTAGGCACCAGCCACGGAATTCTGCGTCTGAAAGAGTTAACCCCCCCCCCCCTGTATTTCTGACTGAAGATGTTATGTGGTGGTGGTGGTCATCATGTCTGTTACTATCTTTGTTTCACCTATACTTCTACACTGTCCGGTCTAACACAATCCGTTCAAGTTTCTGTGACAGTCCATGACACGTTGAAGTGTCCCTGCCTTCTCTCTCACCTGTACTGTCCAGTCTAATACATTCTGCCCAAGTCTGTCTGACAGTCCATGTCCTGTTGAAGTGTCCCTGCCTTCTCTCTCACCCATACTGTCCAGTCTAATACATTCTGTCCAAGTCTGTCTGTCTGACAGTCCATGTCCTGTTGAAGTATACCTGCCTTCTCTCTCACCCGTACTGTCCAGTCTGATACATTCTGCCCAAGTCTGTCTGACAGTCCATGTCCTGTTGAAGTGTCCCTGCCTTCTCTCTCACCTGTACTGTCCAGTCTGATACATTCTGTCCAAGTTTGTCTGACAGTCCATGTCCTGTTGAAGTGTCCCTGCCTTCTCTCTTACCCGTACTGTCCAGTCTAATACATTCTGCCCAAGTCTGTCTGTCTGACAGTCCATGTCCCGTTGAAGTGTTCCTGCCTTCTCTCTCACCAGTACTGTCCAGTCTAATACATTCTGTCCTAGTTTGTCTGACAGTCCATGTCCTGTTGAAGTGTCCCTGCCTTCTCTCTCACCCGTACTGTCTAGTCTAATACATTCTGCCCAAGTCTGTCTGACAGTCCGTGTCCTGTTGAAGTGTCCCTGCCTTCTCTCTCACCTGTACTGTCCAGTCTAATACATTCTGCCCAAGTCTGTCTGTCTGACAGTCCATGTCCCGTTGAAGTGTCCCTGCCTTCTCTCTCACCTGTACTGTCCAGTCTAATACATTCTGTCCAAGTTTGTCTGACAGTCCATGTCCTGTTGAAGTGTCCCTGCCTTCTCTCTCACCCGTACTGTCTAGTCTAATACATTCTGCCCAAGTCTGTCTGACAGTCCGTGTCCCGTTGAAGTGTCCCTGCCTTCTCTCTCATCTGTACTGTCCAGTCTGATACATTCTGTCCAAGTTTGTCTGACAGTCCGTGTCCTGTTGAAGTGTCCCTGCCTTCTCTCTCACCCGTACTGTTCAGTCTAATACATTCTGCCCAAGTCTTATCAGACTTGGGCATAATGTACCTGCCTTCTCTTTTTCTCTCTCCTCTAATGTCCAGTCTAATATATCCTGTTCAAGTTTGTCTGACAGCCCATGTCATGCTGTAGTGTCCCTACCTTCCCTCTCCTCTACTGTCAAGTTAAATACATTTTGTCTGACAGTTCATGTCATGTTGTAGCGTCCATGCCTTCTCTCTCTCTCTCTCTCTCCTGTACTGTCCAGTTCAATACACTCTGTTCATCTGACAGTCCATATCATGTGAAAGTGGTCATCACAGACAAACTAGAGGGCAGTCAGAAACATGGGAAACTCCATAAGTTTGTACATGTCGCTTATTCAAGCTAAGTGACATTTGGCATATGCTAAATTTTTCGACTATATTATGAAAGGCCTTAACAAGCCTGAAAGAAAACATAAGAAATAAATAAGAGAAATGTGTCAGTGATTATATAAATTTATCCCATCTCTACAAATGCAAACAATGATTAATTTAATATGTAAACAACCTTACCTAAGACAGGCAAGCCGACAGAAACTAGATAGTTTCAATTTACAGTACAGAATTAAAAGAAATGAAATTCACAAGACACATTGGGAAATATGTGGAAGGATATTTGAAAACTATCCAGCATTACCAGAAAAAGTAGAAGAAACTCCTTAGATAGGATTATTTTAATCAAACTCTAGCATTACCAGAAATATGCCAGATTTCAGACAACTTGTTGGAATCATAAAGAAAATATCTTAATCTTAATGTTCCAAACAATCAGCTGAAAACTGTCAGCTGAAAAATATCTGTCAAGTGAAGAAAATATCTGTGAAATGAAAACTGTCTGTCAACTGCAAACTGTCTGTCAACTGCAAACTGTCTGTCAACTGAAAACTGTCTGTCAACTGAAAACTGTCTGTCAACTGAAAACTGTTAACTGTCAGCTGAAAACTGTCAACTGAAAACTGTCAACTGAAAACTGTCAACTGAAAACTGTCAACTGAAAACTGACAGCTGAAAACTATCAGCTGAAAACTGTCAACTGAAAACTGTCAGCTGAAAACTGTCAATCTACTGAAAACTGTCAGCTGAAAACTGTCAATCAACTGAAAACTGTCTGTCAACAGAAAACTGTCAGCTGAAAACTGTCAATCAACTGAAAACTGTCTGTTAACTGAAAACTGTCCATCAACTGAAAACTGTCTTTTAACTGAAAATTGTGGGCTGAGAACAATCAGCTAAAAACTGTCCATCAACTGAAAACTGTCCATCAACTGAAAACTGTTGGCTGAGAACAATCAGCTGAAAACTGTCAGCTGAGAACTGGACAATGTGAAAGAAGCTGCCCAGGTAGGATACTGGCCACAAAGGATATGAACGATGCCTGTGTCTGTGACCAACCAGACGCTAGATCTCCTCCAACCACCTGCTCCCACGATAGATCAGAAGGTCATGTCAGATCAGCTTGCCAATTTGTTGGAATTCGCAATTGATTCTTTCTGTCTCTCAACCAGGTCTTTGAAGATCTGAAACAACAAGCGGTATATGTCAATTGCTGACAATTTAAAACTAACAATCAATATTTGTTAATCACTGGAGTTCTGACACTAGCAAATATTATTTTCTAAAAATCAAAAACCAACTATCAACAACTATTAACCTCTAAACATCTGAAACCAACAAACAACAAATATTAACCTCTGAACATCTGAAACCAAAAAATAACAAATATTAACCCCTGAACATTTAACAGAAACATTAAATTAAATTTCAGGATCTTAACATGTCAATGTAGCAAGGTTGGACTTCTAGTCTGGTCACTAGTCTATTCTATTAAGGCAGACATTAGTCTATGGGACATCCTGGGCAGACACCGGTCTGTGGTATATCCTGGGCAAATACCAGTTTGTGTGATACCCTTGGCAGACACTAGTCTGTAGTTACTGGGCAGACTCTAGCCTGTAATTACTGGGCAGACTCTAGCCTGTAATTACTGGGCAGACTCTAGTCTATGGAACATGATGGGCAAACAGTAGTCTTTGGACACGCTTAGCAGACAGTCTGTGGTATCTGGGCAAACAGCCCGTGGTACATCCTGGGCAGACACTAGCCTGTGGTACATCCAGGGCAGACACTAGCCTGTGGTACATCCAGGGCAGACACTAGCCAATGGTACATCCAGGGCAGACACTAGCCTGTGGTACATCCAGGGCAGACACTAGCCCATGGTACATCCTGGGCAGACAATAGCCCATGGTACATCCAGGGCAGACACTAGCCTGTGGTACATCCAGGGCAGACACTAGCCCATGGTACAGCCTGGGCAGACACTAGCCCATGGTACATACTGGGCAGACACTAGCCTTTGGTACATCCTAGGCAGACACTAGCCTGTGGTACATCCTGGGCAGACATTAGCCCGTGGTACATCCCAGACAGACACTAGCCCGTGGTACATCCCAGGCAGACACTAGCTCATGGTACATCCCAGGCAGACACTAGCCCGTGGTACATCCTGGGCAGACTCTAGCCTGTGGTACATTCTGAGCAGACACTAGCCCGTGGTACATCCTGGGCAGACACTAGCCCGTGGTACATCCTGGGCAGACACTAGCCCGTGGTACATCCTGGGCAGACACAACTTTAACAAATTAGACAACATCAGCCTATTTTCAGATGGAGACAAAAAAGACAATTATAACTGTAATGAGGAGAGAAACCAAACAACATCAAAATGTCAGGTCTAGCAAAGATGTCTGGCCTCACCTCTATCAAGTTATCCATTCCCAACAGATAACCATCCTCATGGTTGCCTGGTTTCCATGGTGACCTGAGGACAAGATCATAGCAATTGATTAAATACATCCTTCACATATGTCTATATCATAACAGATGTTAAGATCATTCATATATGTCTCTATCATAGTATATGATTTATATGCGTCTCCATCACAAAATATGTCAAAATAACTCACACGTCTCGGTCATAACAGATATTAACATCATTCACACGTCTCCATCATGATATATATCAACATCCTTCATATATGTCTCCATCAAAACAGATATTAACATCATTCACACGTCTCCATCATGATATATATCAACATCCTTCATATATGTCTCCATCAAAACAGATATTAACATCATTCATATATGTCTCCATCCTGATATATGTTAACATCATTCATATATGTCCCCATGATGATATATATTAACATCATTTACATATGTCCCCAACATGACATATGTTAACATCATTCAGGTATGTCTCCCTCATAACAGATGTTAACATCACTCATCTATGTATCCGTCATAATATATGTTGTTAACATTACAAATGGTTACATAATATTTGGTGTTAACATTATTAATGTATGGCTATGTAATATGTGATGTTACTATTATTCACATATGTGTATATGATTGGCGTCCGAGGCTTAGGCGTTGCGGATCGGACTAGTATTTCTAAATTACTGTGATCAAAACCCAATGCTGGCTGCGTGGATTTGTATCACGGTATGGGGCATCCCAGGTCGACCCAGCCTAAAATGGGTACCAGGGTGTATGCCCTGGGAAAGTAAAGACGGTGGTGTAATGCTGACCACATAACCCGCCTATTGACGATTAGTCTATAAAAAATATGGGGGCTTTTCCTATATGCCCAATGCGCCTAAATACGTGAAAAGGAATCTCAACTTTTTTTTTTTAAACTTTATGTGTATATGTGATATTTTATTATTTCTATATGGTTATGCAAAAATAGGTGATGTTAATTTATTCATGTATGGTTATATAATATGTGATGTTAATATTATTCACATATGGTCAAATGAAAGGTGATTTTAATATTACTCACGTATGGAAATAATATGTGATGGTAATACAAATCACATATAGTTAATTAATAGGTGATGTTATTATTATTTACAAATGGTTTTATAATTTATGATGCTAATACAATCTGACCAATAAATAATGAGACAGATTTAATTAGAGCCAAAACCAAAATGCCATCCATGAAGCCAAGCATGTTATTCAAACAGGAAAAATCTGGCAAAATTGTAATACCATCTGGTCAACAAACTACTGGATGTAAATTTGTTCAGAAAACACACAACGGTTAGAAAAATGCTGGGGTTGGTTCTGCAATGTCATGTCAAGGATATGCAACTAACTTGATCTTGTCAGCAGATGACAAGTAATCTGTCCTTTTGTTTAGCTACCAAAAGCTGTGTCGTTAAGTATCAAGCATAGAGTTGGTCAACACTGACTGTTCTAAATTCCAAAAATATGGGTGTTTGACACTTTTTTTTTTAAGGTAACCAGGATGAAAGGGTTTTGTCAGTTTCCTCAAGCATTTGTTTTCTAATTAGCTTTTGTTCCATCTGTTTGATGGTTTACAGAGCAACATAAAAAGATGTACAAGGTAAATTCTCTGGCAGAAATGTATGTGAATGCAGGATCATGATCGTCTATGCTTGCCCCAGACGAAACATCTGAAGACGAAAATTAGTTAATCAATCAATTAATCTATCAATCAACTGACCTGTGATTGACAGTCACGCCAGAAATAGGAATGGTTTTAGCAAAGTCAATCATCCAAGCTCCCGCATGATTGCTGCTATCATACATAATCAGAAGACTACTGCCAATAATCTGTGCAAATAAACAAACATACAAATGTGACAACACAAGTTCAACCAACTCTACACCAAGCATTAAAGCAGTTTCATCTTCATCATCAGGATTTACCACTCTGTCCAGTATCAGACCCCCAACAACATGTCAGTAGCCAGAACCTCGGCCCCTGGACAAGTCCCTAGCCTCGTGTATTTCAGTGCCCGAAGCTTCTCTAAAATCAGTAGGGCTACGTTATAATCCGCAATTTTTTTAAATACCCCTACGCTGTGGCTGTGAGAAATGTGTGCGTGTGTGGTGTATTATTTATTAGCTGCCTAGATTTCACAGCTATTCCAGAAACTAGCTATATAATAATTATTGTTTTAATTTCCTTCTCAAGTGGGAGGGGGAAACACCCCCCCCCCCCCCCCCCCAACAAGCTATCATAAAAAAAGACTAATTACAGGTGTTTCCGTCGAAGTAGGAGTGCATTCCGCTGAAAGGCAAGGTACCAGTATTCTGCATATTAAAAAGCCAGATCTGTAAACTGGATAAGCATGCAAAATTCAAGTTCCGGAACAAGACCAAGCTCCAGAAGTGGATGAACAACCTAAATTGTCTGCCGGGGTTTACAGCCTGTGAACCCAGACATTACAGGGACTTGTTCAATTAAGATATTACCTATTTGTCTGTGTCTGTGGCTTAGGTATTTTGTAAGGCTGGGGTGCCAGGTTCAATCCCAGCTGCAGGCGATTTGGCAGCAGACTGTTTTGCACTGGTTTTGAAAGTGGTATCAGGATCCGACAATTAAGAAAGCAATGGCAAACTACTCAATGTATAAAACCATGAGCGCCAAATTATGCTGGGGTTGGTTCTGCAACGTTCTGAAAATGATGCACAACTAACTTTAACGCATTTTTACAGATCACTGCTATTTTTTTCTTTGCTTGTTATATTTCCATCCATAATTTCTCTGATAAAAGAACACATTCTCCGACATGCTCAAAATCAAGTTGTCAACTAATCACAGGTAACAGAACAGAACCCGTTTCATGCCTTGTGGTGCTTCCCCCACCCTCCATGCTGCTATAGACCAACTGTCACTTAATATATGAAAGAATGGACACCAGTCTTTCTATGCTAACTTACCTCATGTGTGTTAAAGAATGGAATGGATTCAAACTTCTCCCTTATATCACAGAGTCGTTCATACAAAATAGGCATCACTATCTCGTGACCACTCAAGAAATTCTCCAAGAAATACGACACCTGAGAGGGATAAATAATCATATCTGTTAAAACAAAACATGTAAAATCTTCTTTCTTCTTTATGTTCACTGGCTGTTTACTCAGAAATAAATTTCTGGTTGTTTGTCGTCTTCTACGACACGCTTGTTGGGGAGGCAAGTGAGTTTGTTCTTGTTTTCCAACCAATGAGCTCCAGGAACCCACATGACCACTCAAAAATTCTCCAAGAAATATGACACCTAGGAGGGGCAAATAATCGTCATGTATGTTTAAAAATACCAAAAGAATCCATTCTTTATCATTCTTTACATTGAGCATTTTTTTTACTACAACTGTGGTAGGATCATTTTTGTGTGTGCACTTTTTCCCAGCCCTGTGGCTGGAGGTCAGCATCTTCAGACATTTTTCCCAGTATCAATGACTGGAGGTCACTATCTTGAGACATTTTTCCCAGTACCAATGACTGGAGGTCACTATCTTGAGACACTTTTCCCAGTACCAATGACTGGAGGTCACTATCTTGAGACACTTTTCCCAGTATCAATGACTGGAGGTCACTATCTTGAGACACTTTTCCCAGTATCAATGACTGGAGGTCACTATCTTGAGACACTTTTCCCAGTACCAATGACTGGAGGTCACTATCTTGAGACACTTTTCCCAGTATCAATGACTGGAGGTCACTATCTTTAGACACTTTTCCCAGTATCAATGACTGGAGGTCACTATCTTTAGACACTTTTCCCAGTATCAATGACTGGAGGTCAGTATCTTGAGACACTTTTCCCAGTATCAATGACTGGAGGTCACTATCTTTAGACACTTTTCCCAGTATCAATGACTGGAGGTCACTATCTTGAGACACTTTTCCCAGTACCAATGACTGGAGGTCAGTATCTTGAGACACAATTCTCAGCTTCCATGCTTGGAGGGCAGTATCTTGAGACACAATTCTCAGCTTCCATGCTTGGAGGGCAGTATCTTGAGACACAATTCTCAGCTTCCATGCTTGGAGGGCAGTATCTTGAGACACAATTCTCAGCTTCCATGCTTGGAGGGCAGTATCTTGAGACACAATTCTCAGCTTCCATGCTTGGAGGGCAGTATCTTGAGACACAATTCTCAGCTTCCATGCTTGGAGGGCAGTATCTTGAGACACAATTCTCAGCTTCCATGCTTGGAGGGCAGTATCTTGAGACATTTCTTTTCATTCATGGTCAGTATCTTAAAAGGACACTTTTTAGACACTTTGTGGTGAGTACTTGCACCCTTTTAGACACTTTGTGGTGAGTACTGGCCTCTTTATAGACACTGTGGTGAGTACTAGCACCTTTATAAAAACTTTGTGGTGAGTACTAGCACCTTTATAAAAACTTTGTGGTGAGTACTGGCCTCTTTATAGACACTGTGGTGAGTACTAGCACCTTTATAAAAACTTTGTGGTGAGTACTGGCACCTTTATAGACACTTTGTGGTGATTACTGGCACCTTAACAGACACTTTGTGGTGAGTACTGGCATCTATTTAAACACTTTGTGGTGAGTACTGGCACCTTTATAGACACTTTGTGGTGAGTACTGGCACCTTTATAGACACTTTGTGGTGAGTACTGGCACCTTTATACACACTTTGTGGTGAGTACTGGCACCTTAACAGACACTTTGTGGTGAGTACTGGCATCTATTTAAACACTTTGTGGTGAGTACTGGCATCTTTTTAGAGACTTTATGGTGAGTACTGGCACCTTAATAGACACTTTGTGGTGAGTACTGGCACCTATTTAAACACTTTGTGGTGAGTACTGGCATCTTTATAGACACTTTGTGGTGAGGACTGGCAAATTTTAAGACACTTTGTGGTGAACATCAACATTCTTTTAGACACCCTGTGATGGGTACCAGCACATTTTTTGACTGGTGAGCACTAGCACTTTTATTCTAGAAGAATAAGTCCTGCTTTAATCACACATTAACATTCTAGACAGAAACATGGCCAGACCACTGCAGTCTTTAACTCAACAACTTGTGTGGCAGCAATCTAATAAAAGTTACATAGTAACTGTAATGTAAATAGTTAACAAATGTCAATGAGCATGCTTAAAAAGATCTAAACCTGCAAACTCTGACTAGAGTAGGCTGACAGAATACAGAAGTTCTGTTTTGAGAAACTTTCCGTGCTGTTCATACCAGGACATGCTGGTGTGAAAGAAAATGCAAGACTCAACAGACTGGCTGTGTCTGCTGGAGTTCAGTAATTAGTTGGGGGAAGAAGTATCAATAGGGGAGACATACTGAATGCACTCCAATCCAGAGACGCTGAGACAAAGGAGTGAGAGACAATGAACCACCTACTGGAAATTGATATTTAAAAAAAAAAAGAGAGAATAAGCACGCAGAAACTGATTGCATGATAAAGAAAGAATTTATGCCAATCAACTCCTGCTTGGTAAGCATGGAGGCACCAAAATGGTTGCTGCATTGAAGAAAAGAGAAAGAAAGGGTCAGACCAATGTGCTATTGACGTCAATAAGTAAAACAAGTATGCAACAACTCAACAAGATGAACAAATGTAGCACAAGAACAAAAACAAAAAAGAAAGAAAACACAAGAAGAAAAAGAAATGTGAGGTAACAACAAGATGAATAATTGCAACACAACACCAAGATGAAGAAATGCAACACAACAAGAAGACGAAGAAATTCAACAGCAAGATTAAAAAATACAACAACATAACAAGCTAAGGAAGTGCAAAAATAAGATGCACACACACAAAATATGACACAGCAAGATGAAAAAATGCAACACACAAACATGATGAAGACATGCAACAAGACAAAGAAAAACAAATAACAACAAGATAAAGACATGATAAAGAAATAAAATAAAACAACAATGTGAAGAAATTCTACAACATGAAGATGAAGAAAGGCAACACAACAACACAATGAATAAATGTGACAATAAGGTGAAGAAGTAAAACACAACATGAAGAAAACATAAAACACAACAAGATGAAGCAGTATAACACAACATGAAGAAAACATAAAACACAACAAGATGAAGAAGTACAACACAACATGAAGAAAACATAAAACACAACAAGATGAATAAGTACAACACAACATAAAGAAAACAAAAAACAACAAGATGAATAAGTACAACACAACATGAAGAAAACATAAAACACAACAAGATGAATAAGTACAACACAACATAAAGAAAACAAAAAACAACAAGATGAATAAGTACAACACAACATGAAGAAAACATAAAACACAACAAGATGAATAAGTACAACACAACATGAAGAAAACATAAAACACAACAAGATGAATAAGTACAACACAACATGAAGAAAACATAAAACACAACAAGATGAATAAGTACAATACAACATGAAGAAAACATAAAACACAACAAGATGAATAAGTACAACACAACATAACGAAGTTAAAAACACGAAAAGATGAAGAATTACACCACAAAAACAAGAGGAAGAAATGCAACAACACAGGAAGAATATTTTTAAAAAATGGAACATAACAACAAGATCAGTGCTTGCAGAGGTCATCTCCTCATCTCTGCGCATCAGCTTCACAGTGTCAGGAAATATCAAACAACTTGCAACTAAATGTCAGGAGACGACCAGTTTTCAAACATCAGAAGACACACAATAACATTTAAATGTCAAAGCTGGCTCTCAAGAAACAATCACATTTACCATAATTTTCAAATACAAAATAGCTTTTTATCTGCGCATCACTTTTCTCTTTCCCTATGAAGGCAGACAGTAAAAGATGGACTTTCACACTTCGTATGAGGCCTAATGAAGTAAGCTGTCTGAGAGAGAACCAGCCGCAGTATTATAACACAGCATCAATACATTTGTGTTGAATACTTGATTTAAGTGCCCAGCTTCACCCGGGATAGTGAAAGAAAGTCTTACTCTTCTGTACTCTAACTCACCTTAGTCTCCCCCACTGCCCTATGTCTAGTGAAAACAGAGGTCTAACTAATTTAATATTCTGTATTCTACTTCCACTTTGTCTCCACCGCTGCTGTAACTTTGGTCATTGCCCAAAAGTGCACCTGTGGCATCCCTTGCAATACTAACAGCAGTATTTAATGGGCATATAGAGAGAATGTCAGATGAGAGACAAAAGCTGTGTGCACAAATGACCACTGCCACCATGAGGGCCAAAAAACTGCAATGGCTTTGGCATACAGAGAGAATGTCAGATGAAAGACAAAAACTGTGTATACAATTGAGCTGAATGGCCGTAGAGCATAAGCCAGACAAAGAAGACCGTGGAAAGCAGACATACAAACACTTGGAGTCATCCAATCGAAAGAGAGGGCCAATCACAGGATGAATGCAGTCATCTACAGCAATGAACCTCAAGGGCTCAGAATGCTGAAGAAGATCAGTAACTCAAACAACTGAAACAAAGAAATGATACCTTTATGTGGTAAATGTCCTTCTTGGCATTAGGCCGGAGCCTGCTGACAACAAGATACCTCAGGTTCGGAGAGGGGGGGGGGGTTTGGGGGGGGGGGGTAACATCATTAGTCTAGAGCAGTGTTTCCCAAAAGTTTGTTCTGGGTGAAGAGTGAAATCTCAACATAAGCTTCACTTAGAGAGAGAAGGGAGGACTCTGTAACCACCATCTTGAAAACAGTGATTTCGGGCTGGGTAAGGAGTAAAATCTCAACACAAGCTTCACTCTGATACCTTTATGTGGTTAGTTGGGTTAGACATTGGTCTTTCCAATAGAGTTGGGTTTCTGTGATGTCTTGCATTTAGGTTTTCACTCCAAGAAAGATAATGCTTGTGACAGGTTGCAGCACTCTTTAGGGTGGTTGTGTTAGACCCAGTTTCTCTATGTTTTTGGAGTGTTAAAAGTGCTGGTGTGCTGAAATATACACCATGCGATATCAACGGCATTGCGGAACTATCAATCAGAAGTGAGCTAGTGTGCATATGAGCAGGGTCTGGGGAGACTAATGTTGAAAAAATCACCAGTTGTTTTCAGGATTTTTAAATAACATGAACTTAAAATCCACAGACTTTGGGTTTAATTTTTAGTTTTCCCGGAGAGTCACCAACCAAGCAGCCAAACCTATAAATAAACTTACCAATCAATCAGCCTATCAACACAGCAACCAAAGTATCAACCAATCAACATACTAACACAGCACCCTCTAAAGTACTAAAGAGTTTTGGAAAATGCCATTCTGGTGTCTTAACTCAGTGAAGGGAAAATTCCAAATGCAACATCCTTGTGGTAAAGGATGGGTAACACACCACGGTTTGGCCAAGGCAGATCTGGGGACAAGTGGACACCTCACTTGTCCTGACAGCTGAAAATTAATCAGTGACAAAGGTAGAGGTAAAAGACCCCCATGTGGATGTGGAAGGTAACGGGAAACCACCACATTATCTTCCAAAGTATTCAATCAGAGTCACAGATTTAATTCAGTGAACCACAGATGTCTTCAGACAGCCTTGTCCCGTATGGACTGTCATAAGACACAGGTGACACCAAACCATCAGAGGGTAAATCTAACAGATTTAGAACAGGAACCTGGAATATCATCAGAGGAATTGATCCAGAACACCAAAAACTGAGATCTGTGAAAATGCATGAACACCTATGCCAGCTGGCAAGTCCCTTGACGATGATGACTAACACACCAACCAATGTATCAATCTATCAACTACTAAAACATAACCCACTGCACCAATCGATTGAAAAAAAAAATAACCAATCCACCAACTAATCAATTAGCCAGTCAATAAAAAGAAATCAACCCACCACAGTCTCAATAAACAATTTATCAGTGGCACATGGGACATACTTACTTCTTCTTTTGTTTTCACTTTCTTCAGACTGGTGTTTGGTGGCTCCCCCGACATCTAAGGCAGCGGACAGAGATAACAGAAAATATACAATGATTCAGAGATGACACAGCAGCCAACTGCATCTAAAGAACCTAGTGTGAACAAATATTTTCCAGCTGACACATCAACATTAGGTCTGATGAGTTATGAGTTGTGCTATCTTCCTGGCACTTCAGACAAGTCTACACGAGCCCAGATTTCCCCTTTCAACAAAGACATCAACATCCTGTGGTTAACAGTGTCAGCCCTATTCTAGTCATCAAGACACAGTCTATGGCCAGCATACCTCTGATGCCTGGCTGTGCCAATCTCTAGTCCTAATCCTCACATTCTTAGCAGCAATCTGGACACACTGCTCCTGATATTTTTGGATCACCCGATCCCTCTAAAATCATTAACAAGGTTAGCGTGATCCATAGGGCAGAGAGCTGCAACCAAGGCAACGCTGGCCAGTCTATTAGCTTTTCCACTACTAACAACACATGTATGCTTTGGGATGAAAACAAAGCTAACTCCACACATCTGGAATCTTTAATCACATGTGACAGCAGCAGTATTTGGGGCTGGTGAAAAGAAACAAAGGTCTGGGAGAAGATGATTATGAAGGGAAGTATCTCCATGGAGGCAGAGAAGAGGAAAACCATATCATAAGTCAAATGAAGATGTAACTGATGATTGACATGCCATAGTGACAGAGACAGGACTGGACAATGACTGACACAAACCAGCAACAGAGGAAGGACATCTTGTCGATGATAGAGAGAAGTTCAGAGACTATTATGGGAATAAAACTATGTACAGGATAAAGTACTAAATGATGATGATGATGTCAATGCAACTTCTCAATTCAAGCAGCAGTTTTATTCTCAGCCTTTCAATTAAATCTTTTAGCCCCAAGAAATATAAACACAAAAGTAGTCACTTTTTATCAGCATAAAGATTTTTTAAAAACAAACCAATGCGATAGTGAAATGAAACATATACATTGCTACTGAGGAGGCCAGGTTTCTTTAATAAAATCATCAGCAACAACAAGAAAACTGTATAAAGTGGAATGTTACATAAATTGATGTCTCGACTTAAAAAGGCCACAGCTGATCATATATCATGCGCTACTTGGTATTAAAAGAGTTAATTTAGGATATTCGGCAACAAAGTGCCTAGTACACATGCATGCCAGCCTGTTGGAGATACTTATATCTGTATCCTCTTGATGTCCCTGTTGATACATCATAAGACATTCACAAGTGATCTCCACTGATGTTGGTTTGCTGCTTTTCTGCAGCACGGGTATCGCATGTCATTCTAAGTTTCTTTGCTTTCCTTTCTACTTTCCTCTTTCAAGTTTCCTGAGATCATTCTTATCTCTGTTCTCTCATCTGTCACCAGACAGCGGTCCTCACAAAAATGTCACAAGGAATTCTGCAAACATGTCACAACCATCTTGATCTTCCTTATTTGATGACTCTTACCACTGAGGCACATGTTGTTTTCCTTCTCCGTTCTTTCTTTGTGATCTTATTTGGCCAAAATGTAGGAGATAATGCTGGAATATTGATTCGGGATAGGATGTTTTAGAAGCTGACATCGACTCCCGAGGAGACATGGCCTAAACCTAAAATGGCAAACCAGGATTTTGTGGATGCAAAGACAACTTGTATAAGATATCTCCCACTGACTGACTCACTCGGACAACTTCTATTCTGTAACCTACATTTACCATTGGGACTGACTCCCCTGAAGGCTTCTTCTATTCTATGACCTATGTTTACTGTACTGACTGACTCCCCTGAAGGCTTCTATTCTATAACTATGTTTTCTGTACGACTGACTTACCCAGACGGCTTCTATTCTATAATTTATGTTTACTGTATTGACTGACTTACCCTGAAGGCTTCTATTCTATAACCTATGTTTACTGTACTGACTGACTTACCCGGATGGCTTCTATTCTGAAGCCGAGGTTTGCTGTAGAGCTTTCTTGTTCTCTGAACTGAAATTTACAGAAAACAAATCAAAAAACATAAAATTTGTTGCTAAAAAAAAACCAATGCAACAATTACATCTAGCAACAATAGGAGCAGGTAGTGGAGTTACTGAAATGCCAGCCCCACACACTGTGACACATGGGGTAAAGTAGAGGGAGAAGGTGAGGCAGTTGAGATGACACAGTTCACATCATCCTATTCCTATTCATTTTCAGAAAAAAAATAAAAATTCGACCACTTTCAGACTGCTACTAGATAGCCGAAGCTGCTAACAGTCTCTGTCTATATTTTTGGTCTGGTTTATTTGCATCACTTTCGTGACTGAAGTTTTAGTATTTGCGCCGTCTCTGGGCTTGATGCTTCTTTCCTTCGTCAGACCGCTCATTCCCTACCCGGTTGTTAACAGTGTACTTCTTGCCTTTTCCTTCCAGGTGTTTCCTTCCTGGTTTAATCTCTCTATGATTTGGCCAGGTGTATTTCGTAGGAGAGCGAGCTTCTATACATCACGCCCTTAGGACCACCATTTATCGTTTTAAAATTTTGAGCATTTTACTTTGCCAAAAAGTACTGAAAACAGTTTCTGGTTTTGGATAGATCCGAATCTGAAAGTATTTCACGTGTGACCATAGTAGTCTTATAGATGTCTTCTTGCAATAAGAACGTGTTAGTCATGTCGTGGAAATGTGTGTGAAATGTTAGATGGAGCCTCCCGGTTATTCTATTCCTCATTTGTTATAGTGTGATCCAATTGTGTCGTTTTGGGTTGGTAGCTAGGCTCCGGTGTACTTAAATACCCACATCATCCAATGAGTCCCAGTTCATATAAAAAATAATAGGCTACCCTAAGAATAACGGGCACATATTATGGCGGCCAAAAACAGAGCCCCAGTCACATGTCAATTGCGCACTTCCAGCGACTTAATTTGCAGACTTCCGTGGACTACCGCCACCGTCGAGAGTAACTCCCACGCCGATATGCGCGGCATGAATTGGGGCTAAACTAGATGGCTGGGACTCAAGAGCAAAGCTGCAGGAGATGCGGAAGCTGCTGCTCGTGAGTTCTAGCCATCTAATTTAGCCCCAATCCACGCTGCACGTAGCGGCGTGGTAAATACTCTGGGCAGTGGCGGTAGCCGCCGGAAGTCTGCAAATTAAGCCGCCGGAAGTGCACAATTGACATGTGACTGAGGCCCTGTTAGGGTGTTTTTGCGGCCGCAATAATATGTGCCTGTTATTCGGAGGATAGCCAAAAAATATGTCCTTGATCTGAGATATACAGAATAAAATGTGTCCTTGATCTGAACATTAACAGACTGAAATATGCCCTTGACCTGAGATATACAGACTGAAATATGTCCTTGACCTTGAGATGTACAGAATGAAATGTGTCCTTGACCTGAGATATACAGAATGAAATGTGTCCTTGACCTGAGATATACAGAATGAAATGTGTCATTGAACTGAACATTAACAGACTGAAATGTGTCCTTGATGTGACATATACAGACTGAAATGTATCCTTGATGTGACATATACAGACTGAAATGTGTCCTTGATGTGACATATACAGACTGAAATGTGTCCTTAATGTGACATATACAGACTGAAATGTGTCCTTGATGTGACATATACAGACTGAAATGTATCCCGAACTGGACATATACAGTGATAATGCACACTAATCTATTTCTAACTTATATCTACAGTGATAATGCACAATAATCTATTTCTAACTTATATCTACAGTGATAATGCACAATAATCTATTTCTAACTTATATCTACAGTGATAATGCACACTAATCTATTTCTAACTTATATCTACAGTGATAATGCACAATAATCTATTTCTAACTTATATCTATAGTGATAATGCACACTAATCTATTTCTAACTTATATCTATAGTGATAATGCATATGTGCACAACAGTTTTGATGTTATCTTATAAATAATATCATCATCAGCGCACATTGAGCATTTCCATGCGTGCTCAATTCTCTGTTGCAGTAGCCTCACCAATGTGCCTCAACTGATTGATCCCATAGGGTACAGGTTATAATGGATCCTATCTTAGTCTCAAAGACAGCACGGATGTCCTTCCTCTTGGTTTATTCTCAGGTCACACAATCATGTTAGTGTCAGAGGGTCATCATTATCCACTAACCTATTTTGATTTAATCATGGCAGACCAAGAAAAGTAAAACAATAAAAGAACCAGAAAAAGATCCAGACAAAACAGATCAGTTTAGAAAATTTCAGTGAGATAATATGACAAGAGAGAGAAGGACAAACACTGTACAGCCACTACATGTCACCTACAAGATTATTATTTCCCGTGAACAGAGATATCTGACACTGTACAGACATGACATGACACTAACAAGATTGATGATTCTTGACAGAGAGAGACATCTGACACCCTATAGTCATGACAATCACAAGATTGATTATTCTTGACAGACAGACATCTGACACTCTACCGCCATGGCATGACACTAACAAGATTGATGATTCTTCACAGAGATATCTGAAACTCTACAGCCACAACATGACACTAACAAGATCGATGATTCTTCACAGAGATAGCTGAAACTCTACAGCCACAACATGACACTAACAAGATCAATGATTCTTCACAGAGATATCTGAAACTCTACAGCCACAACATGACACTAACAAAATCGATGATTCTTGACAGAGACATCTGACACTCTACAGCCACAACATGACATTAACAACATCGATGATTCTTGACAGAGACATCTGACACTCTACAGCCACAACATCACACTAACACGATCGATGATTCTTCACAGAGATAGCTGAAACTCTACAGCCACAACATGACACTAACAAGATTGATGATTCTTCACAGAGATAGCTGAAACTCTACAGCCACAACATGACACTAACAAAATTGATGATTCTTGACAGAGATATCTGACACTCTACAGCCACAACATGACACTAACAAAATTGATGATTCTTGACAGAGATATCTGACACTCTACAGCCACAACATGACACTAACAAGATCGATGATTCTTCACAGAGATAGCTGAAACTCTACAGCCACAACATGACACTAACAAGATTGACGATTCTTCACAGAGATAGCTGAAACTCTACAGCCACAACATGACACTAACAAAATTGATGATTCTTGACAGAGACATCTGACACTCTACAGTCACAACATACACAAGATTACTGGTTCCTGGCAGACAGAGACATCTACCATGAATAATAATAAAAAGATACCTGCATATATCTGAGTTTAGTGATGGCTCCTTCAGCAACTTCCTCCGCTGTGGGGGCATTGGGGTCCACCTTGATCATCTTCTCATACAAATCTTTCCTGAGAACTGGGTTCTTCACTTCTGCTTCCAAGAAGGTCCTGGAGGACAGGAGGACATGGTTGGGAAACAAATAAATGCAAAAGGTTGAATACATTCATGACAATGTCTGGCTTAACACAGCGCCATAACAAGTTTGTACTGGGAGAGAAGCTGACACTGAAAGAGAAACAGACACTGAAAGAAAAGGCAGACACTAGGAAGAAAGCTGACACTGGGAAGAAAGCTGACACTGGGAAGAAAGCTGACACTGGGAAGAAAGCTGACACTGGGAAGAAAGCTGACACTGAGAGAGAAACAGACACTGAAAGAAAAGGCAGACACTAGGAAGAAAGCTGACACTGGGAAGAAAGCTGACACTGAGAGAGAAGCAGACACTGAAAGAAAAGGCAGACACTAGGAAGAAAGCTGACACTGGGAAGAAAGCTGACACTGAGAGAGAAGCTGACATTGAGAGAGAAGTAGACACTGGCAGAGAAGCAGACATGCCCTGGAATAGAAGCATATATTTGGAGAGAAAATGACACTGGTAGAGAAGAAGATATTGAGAGAGAAGCAGACAGTAGGAGACAAGCAGACAGTGGGAGAAAAGCAGTCACTGGTAAGGAAAAAGACAGGAGAGAAGCAGACATTGAGACAGAAGATGACACTGGGAAAGAAGATGACACTGGGAGAGAAGCTGAAAGTGAGTGAGAAGCAGACGTGACATAGAAGGGAGGCACATACTGGGAGAAAAGTAGACATTGGCAGAGAAGCAGACATTGGCAGAGAAGCTGACAGTGGGAGAGTCGTAGACCATGGCAAAGAAGCAGACATCGGGAGAGAAGCATACACTGAGAGAGAAGCAAACACTGGAAGACAAGATGATATTGGATGGGGGGAACAGATAGTTGGAGAAAAGCAAACCATGGCGAGAAGGCAGACATTTAGAGAGAAGCATACACTGAGAGGGAAGCAAACATTAGGAGAGAAGCAGACACTGGGGAGACTCAATGAAGAACTGTGAATTCACTAACCTGGTCCCCATTTTAATATCCATGATGCTGGGATCACTGAAGTGGTGTAGGAGGTCCTCCATCTCAATGAAATCTATACATTTGTTAATGTTTATATTATAATATGTGGAAATGTTTATAATATCAAAAAACGGTAATGCTATTTTATATAATGTGGTAACCTTGAATCATATGCAACAATTTCTAAAATCACATGAAGCAATAATTATACTATCATACGTGGTTTAAAAAACAAACAGCCTAACTATTAGCCATCAATCTGAATCAGAAAAAATGCTGCAGGCTGGTTGGTTGTGTTTGGCGGCTGACAGAGGGGGTCTAAGGTCAAATCAGCCAGAAGAGCATGAAGCAGGACCTTATATCTCCCTCGACACCCGAAACGGTAAAAGAGAATGTAAAGAAGAAGAAGACGGAGAGGGTTTAAGTGAATTGTTGGGTGGGTGGTAGGTTAACTGATTTTTTTGGGTGGTTGGCCGGCTCAGTGATTTCTTAGGTGGTTGGTTGGTTGAGCGCTTTGTCAGGTGGTTGTTGGCTGACTGATTAGCTGGATGACTGGTGGTTGAGTCAGTGCTGGCTGCTGAAGATGGGGCTGGAGCATTTATAGGGATATTCCAAGTGCTGTGATATTGGCTGTTAACTCAGTGCAACCTAACTGGTTGGTTGAGTGATCTGCTGACTGACTGGTTGGTTGAGTGATTTGCTGACTGACTGGTTGGTTGAGTGATCTGCTGACTGACTGGTTGGTTGAGTGATCTGCTGACTGACTGGTTGGTTGAGTGATCTGCTGACTGACTGGTTGGTTGAGTGATTTGCTGACTGACTGGTTGGTTGAGTGATCTGCTGACTGACTGGTTGGTTGAGTGATCTGCTGACTGACTGGTTGTTTGAGTGATCTGCTGACTGACGGGTTGGTTGAGTGATTTGTTGACTGACTGGTTGGTTGAGTGATTTGCTGACTGACTGGTTGGTTGAATGATCTGCTGACTGACTGGTTGGTTGAGTGATCTGCTGACTGACTGGTTGGTTGAGTGATCTGCTGACTGACTGGTTGTTTGAGTGATCTGCTGACTGACTGGTTGGTTGAGTGATCTGCTGACTGACTGGTTGGTTGAGTGATCTGCTGACTGACTGGTTGGTTGAGTGATCTGCTGACTGACTGGTTGGTTGAGTGATCTGCTGACTGACTGGTTGGTTGAGTGATCTGCTGACTGACTGATTGGTTGAGTGATCTGTTGACTGACTGGTTGAGTGATCTGCTGACTGACTGGTTGGTTGAGTGATCTGCTGACTGACTGGGTGGTTGGTTTAATGAGTGTATGGCTGGTTGTGTAAGTGACTGGGTGGTTGGTGAAGAGACTGAATGGTTGGTTAGTGTGGGCTACTGTAGCTTCTTTGAAGCCCCTTTTACTCCCACCTCAAAACAACGTCTGCTGTGGAACAACTTGCTCTGTCATCAGTACTTATAGCTTGTACAGTCTAGACAGCTAGTATCTATAACTAGTTAGCCGGAGTAAAAGTGATCTCATCTGTCACAAGTACTAGAAAGGATACATAAACGAGTGTTATCTGAGTAATCTAAACTGTCACAAATACAGAAAGGGTATACAAACAAGTGTTATCTATGTAATATCAGCATGAGGTTACAAGAAAAGATACACAAACAAGTGCTATCTATGTAATATCAGCTAGAGATTAAAAGATAGGATACAAGTGTTATCTAAGTAATATCAGCTCGAGGTTACTAGAAAGGATACACAAACAAGTGCTATCTAATTAATATCAGCTAGAGTTTACAAGAAAGGATACACAAACAAGTGCTATCTAAATATTATCAGCTAGAGTTTACAAGAAAGGATACACAAACACGTGCTAACTAAGCAATATCAGCTAGAGTTTACAAGAAAGGATACACAAACAAGTGTTATCTAGGTAATATCAGCTAGAGTTTAAAAGAAAGGATACACAAACAAGTGCTATCTAATTAATATCAGCTAGAGTTTACAAGAAAGGATACACAAACGAGTGCTATCTAAGTAATATCAGCTAATAGAGTTTACAAGAAAGGATACACAAACAAGTGCTATCTAAGTAATATCAGCTAGAGTTTCAAAGAAAGGATACACAAACAAGTGCTATCTAGTTAATATCAGCTAGAGTTTACAAGAAAAGATACACAAACGAGTGCTATCTAAGTAATAGCAGCTAGTAGAGTTTACAAGAAAGGATACACAAACAAGTGCTATCTAAGTAATATCAGCTAGAGTTTAAAAGAAAGGATACACAAACAAGTGTTATCTAGTTAATAACAGCTTGAGTTTACAAGAAAGGATACACAAACAAGTGCTATCTAATTAATATCAGCTAGAGTTTACAAGAAAGGATACACAAACGAGTGCTATCTAAGTAATATCAGCTAATAGAGTTTACAAGAAAGGATACACAAACAAGTGCTATCTAAGTAATATTAGCTAGAGTTTAAAAGAAAGGATACACAAACAAGTGCTATCTAAGTAATATTGGCTAGAGTTTAAAAGAAAGGATACACAAACAAGTGTTATCTAGTTAATATCAGCTTGAGTTTAAAAGAAAGGATACACAAACAAGTGCTATCTAAGTAATATCAGCTAGAGATACAAAAAAGGATACATAAACAAGTATTACCAAAGTTTCAAAGTTATCTCAAATAATAAGTACTAGACGGGATACATATGCACAAGTTAGCCAAGATATATCATCTCTTACAAATACTTGAATGATATATAAACAAGTGTTATCCAAGTAAACTCATCTAGATATACTGATCTCTGGATATATAAACAGTGTTATCTAATAAATGTCATCTGTCACAAGTATTAGAACAGATATATAAATAACAGTTATCTAATTTATGTCAACTATCAGAAGTACTAGAAATGATAAATAAACAAGTGTTATAACAATAGAACGGACAAAGGAACAAGTGTTATCACAACTACCAGAATGAATACATCGACAAGTGTTATCACAAGTACCAGAATGGATACATAAACAAGAGTTATCACAAGTACCAGAATGGATAAATAAACAAGTGTTATCATAAGAACCAGAATGGATATATAAACAAGTGTTATCACAAGTACCAGCATGGATATATAAAGTGTTATCACAAGTACCAGAATGGATATATAAACAAGTGTTATCACAAGTACCAGCATGGATATATAAAGTGTTATCACAAGTACCAGAATGGATATATAAACAAGTGTTATCACAAGTACCAGCATGGATATATAAAGTGTTATCACAAGTGCCAGAATGGATATATAAACAAGTGTTATCACAAGTACCAGAATGGATATATAAAGTGTTATCACAAGTACCAGAATGGATATATAAACAAGTGTTATCACAAGTACCAGAATTGAAATATAAACCTGTTATCACAAGTACCAGAATGGATATATAAACAAGTGTAATCACAAGTACTAGAATGGATATATAAACAAATGTTATCCCAAGTACCAGAAAGGATATATAAACAAGTGTTATCACAAGTACTAAAATGGTTATATAAACAGGTGTTATCACAAGTACCAGAATGGATATATAAACAAATGTTATCCCAAGTACCAGAATGGATATATAAAGAAGTGTTATCACAAGTACTAAAATGGTTATATAAACAGGTGTTATCACAAGTACCAGAATGGATTTATAAACAAATGTTATCCCAAGTACCAGAATGGATATATAAACAATAATGACTAGAAAGGATACATTCTCCATTTAACTCCACTTCCTGATGAAAGGCAGGCATCATGTTCATGGACTGAGGGTACTCACTCAAGGCCGTGTACGCCTGGGCTTCGTAGTTCTCATTGGAGATACGTTTCTTCCATATGGTGTTTGGCCCAGCTGGAGCAAAGGAGCCTGCATTAGAAAATAATTTAGAAATTAAATAACAAAGTCTGATGTGGAAAGCAGGGAACAGTCTGCCCATTATGTTGCAAAGGAAAATAAACTGCCACTTAGCCATATTAGTCATACAGAATGGTCTTCAGAGACATGACCATCAGGAGAGCCAACAAGAACGACTTGTCACAGGTCACATAAACTTTAATATCATTCACATAACACATTACAAGATGATGGTGACTGTGTGTATACGATAATAAGTCTATATTATCTTTTCTATACAACATACTAATTCTATTTATAAGTAGGTCATACACTAAGAATCTTTTCTGTGTTACATGGACAATTAAAGGAAGCAAAAAAAATAGCTACACTCAGGGCATTTTTTCTGGCAGTACTGCTATCTTCTTTTAGATATCATTTTGTCAGCAATATTATACCAGACAATTTGTGGTGAGTACCGGCACCTGTTTATTCTTAAAGGAATTATGTTTTTAGCAATACTATAATAGACAATTTGTGGTGAGTACCGGCACCTGTTTATTTTTAAAGGCCTTATGTTTTTAGTGATACTTTAACAGACAATTTGTGGTGAGTACAAGCACCATTTTTTAGTGATGCTATAATAGACAATATTACTAGCACCTTTTTTTTAAAGACATTTCGTAGTTGATACCGACACACTTGTTATCCAGAAAAGTGCCCTACCATGCCTGTCACAAGATGTTTTAAGAAAGGCTGACATGGGGTTGACAAATTAGGGGGTTTCCTTCAAAGTCAGAGTGCATCTGCTTGAGAGGCAAGGAACCAACAATCTGCATGCAGATAAGTCAGATCTGTAAAATGAATGTGCACTTAACATTCAGGTTCAGAATTAGACCAAAGTCCAGAGATGAATGAACAACCAGAACTTTGCACCAAAGTTTACAGCCAGTGAACAAAAAGAACAAGGTTTGTTGGCATCTGTGGCTAAGGAGCTACAAACACACTTCCTAACTCCAAGATACCCAGTCTGACTCCAGCTTCAAGCAATCTGTTAGGAGAGTGCTTTGTGTTGATTTCGACTGTCACTACTGTCTGTTTAACCACCTTCTTTGGGCAGTGAAGAGAGGGACAATCATAAGCCTGAGAATTTAAGGCCGCATGGCTAGTGCTGTTGCTATGGACTGTGCAGGTTAGGATGTTTAATTTTGCCCCTGACAGAAAAACTCCATCACCTTACCGGGGGTCGAACCCAGGTCTCCTGCATGAGTGCATATTGCTGTAACCACTCGGCCAGCCGCTCCTCACTCTGCTATCACTCCTCACTCAGCCAGCCTCTATATTTCAACAAATGTTGATTGGCACCTGAGACAACAGATAATGCCCTCCAAGACTGTCTCAAATTCAACATATCAAGGTAAAACTTTTGGCTAAAAGAGACATCAGTGCAAGTCAAACTGTACAGGTCGCTGAGTGAATTACAAAAGATATATATATCAAAAGCCAACTATTCAGAAGCAATGGCAAACTATTAAACATAAACTTGCTTAGTAAAATCGCAAGCAGTCAAACCATGCTGGGACTGATTGTGCAACATCCTCTGAATGATAAAAAAATTTAATATTACCATTACATTTAAGTGATTGTGGGCATCCCCATGGGAAAGTGTCCAAATAATTGAGACTGTGATCTGAAAGCTGTGTGATTTATGTTTAGAATATTTTTTCATCTCAAAAACATAATTAGATTATTTTTTTTTCTCAGAGATTTTAGGAATAAATACTGGAGCTGTAGATGTTGTGCTTTGTATGACATCTCCTGGAGGCTGCAAGCTACACTGCAGAGAAAGACTGAGCCATATAAGATAAAATCATGTGCAGGCCAATCCACTTAAAAGTGTATTCAAAAACTATATGCTAGGTAGCTTCAGAAAGTTTCAGGAATTTGTGTCCTGTGTGTTGTGTAGAAATAAGTGAACAACAATGCAGTTATTTTGAATGCATTTTTTCTAAACAGTTCCCTTTGGCAACTACACAATTCTGCCACTGTTCATACAGTTGTTGGAAACATTCTTAAACCCATTCTTAGATACCTGTTTTAACTGCTTTGTCACATTGGCGGTAATGTCCTTAGCATCTTTGAATCCCTGAGTGTGACTACTCAAGCAAAAACACAAAGGCATTTGTGCACAGCTAAGCAGAGGAAATTTTCCACCTCAGTGATGCTTCATGATGCTACACAGGGGAGATGAATGGTCGTAGACCACGAGGCAGACCAAAAAGACGATGGAGAGACTTGCAAACACTTGGTGTCACCTACTGGAAAGAGAAGGCCAACCAGAGAGATGAATGGAGGTGGGTGATATCTGCCGCAATGAACCTCAAGGGCTCGGAAAGCTGAGGAAGAAGAAGAAGAAGAAGTGATGCTACATGCACAAGACACAAACAAACTTCTGTCTGAGAATAAATGTGAAGGTCATGTCTGCCATGTTGCTTCTTCAGTGTCACTATCAACTTAAAAAACTACAATCTTTATGTCAAAACTATCAATTTAAACATTAGCTGACTTTTCCAGAAACTCTCTGAAGCAGCTTCACACATACACACACACACACACACACACACACATATATATAGTAAAGGTCCCTTTCTTCACCTTTAGTCGTATTGGAAATATGGGGCTAGGCCTATATTTTTATAGACCAACTGGCACTTGGTGGGTGATGAGATCAGCATCATGCAGGCCGCTTTTACTTTCCAGGACTGCACCTGGTACCCACTCAAGGCTGGGTGGACCTTGGAGTCAGGGTCATTTAAAAAAAAAAAAGTCTGGCTCCCCCAGGATTTGAACCCACGACCTTCCAGGCAGGCGCCGAACTGCCAACACCATGGTGACACCCATATATATTCATAAAAACAAAATTTAACACCTTTGTGTCACTGAGCATCAGTCTCACCTGGATGTCCGGCCAGCTGGATCCAGGCATTTTTTCTGTTCTTGACCAGAAGTGAAGTGGCTGGAGCAGAGAGGTCAAGAGCTGCCTGTGTTCAACAAATGTACAGGTGTCAATAGAGCATACAGTACATCATATCAGCAAATGATGGTTTTGATGGCAACAAAGTTGATGATGGTAGTGAAACCATAAGTCATATATGCAACAACAACAAAACAAAACAAAAAAAGATTTAGAAAAGATGTCAAGTGGGATAGTTATAGGTAGAAACTAATAATGATGATAATGTTGTTGAGGCTTCAGCTATGAACAGGTAGCATCTGAGAACACTGTCTCTCTCATCTGTCTCTCTGACAGGTCCTTCCATCTAACTGTCTCTCTGACAGGTCCTTCCATCTAACTGACTCTCTGACAGGTCCTTCCATCTGTCTCTCTGACAGGTCCTCCCATCTAACTGTCTCTCTGACAGGTCCTTCCATCTAACTGTCTCTCTGACAGGTCCTCCCATCTGTCTCTCTGACAGGTCCTTCCATATAACTGTCTCTCTGACAGGTCCTTCCATATAACTGTCTCTCTGACAGGTCCTCCCATCTAACTGTCTCTCTGACAGGTCCTTCCATCTAACTGTCTCTCTGACAGGTCCTCCCATCTGTCTCTCTGACAGGTCCTTCCATCTAACTGTCTCTCTGACAGGTCCTTCCATCTAACTGTCTCTCTGACAGGTCCTCCCATCTAACTGTCTCTCTGACAGGTCCTCCCATCTAACTGTCTCTCTGACAAGTCCTTCCATCTAACTGTCTCTCTGACAGGTCCTCCCATCTAACTGTCTCTCTGACAAGTCCTTCAATCTAACTGTCTCTCTGACAGGTCCTTCCATCTGTCTCTCTGACAGGTCCTCCCATCTAACTGTCTCTCTGACAGGTCCTTCCATCTAACTGTCTCTCTGACAGGTCCTTCCATCTAACTGTCTCTCTGACAGGTCCTCCCATCTAACTGTTTCTCTGACAGGTTCTACCATTTTACTGCCTCTCTGACAAGTCCTCCCAGCTCACTGTCTATCTGGAGGGTCCTCCCCTCTCTCTGAAAGATCAACCCATCCAACTGTCTCTCTGACAGGTCCTCTCCTGTCTCTCTGACCTCCCAGCTCACGGTCTCTGATGAGACCTCCTATTTAACTGTCTCTTTGATGGGTCCTCCCACTTCACTTTCTAACAGGTCCTCCCAGCTCAGTGTCTCTCTGATGGGTCCTCCCAGCTCACTGTCTCTCTGACAAGCTGTTCTTTTCCTATGTACAAGTTTTTCCACTTGTCTGTTCTCGGAGGGAGTAGCATTCTTCTAGTCTCGCTGAGTTTTGGGCACTCAAAGAGATGGTGTTCAACAGTTTCGTAGGGGTAATTACATAGCTGACACTCTGGAGAGTGTTGTGGCTGTATTCTGTTTAGATGTCCACTGAGTGGGGTATGTTGTGTTCTAAGTCTGAAGATGGTGGCCTGGTCCCTTCTACAGTATATCTATAGGTTATGCAACAGTATTCTCCTTTTTCTGTGTCCACCTATTGAATTATCCGATTTCAGCAAACAACTAATCAGTCACCGTTTACAACATCTTTGGGAGCGAGGGGAGCAGAGGGCCTATTATTCACACCAAACCCTATAGACCCATAGTGGTATGATATAACATTACATTTACATTTTATTTAACACTAAATGTGTAGATTATGTTACTGTAAATACATAGATTATACAACAGTAAACATGCAAATTACATGAAAGTATGTATACAGATTCTATGATAATGTAGGAGAAGGAGAAAACTGGAGTACATTGTGACAGTAGGAAAGTTGGAGGGGAAGAGAGGCAGAGGGAGACAGAGATAGTGGACAGTTTGACATCATGGCATGGAAATTCACCTGTGTCAGAGGAGACTGAAAGTACACACGACAGAAGTGTACAGACAGACATGACGACCAACGCCACACAGCATGGGCTTCAAAGAGAAGAAGTAGGCAGATTATATAACAGCGGATGTATACATCACATGACAGCAATTATACAGATAACAAGACAGCAAATGTATTAACTACATGATAATAAATATATACATAATATAATGGTTAATGCAAACACAACAGTAAATTAATGGAGGACATGGCAGTTAATCTCCTGATTATATGAACCAAAAATATCTCAAGGATAAAACAGTAAATATGTAGTCACAGGACTTGTTCTGTGGATATTATTGCCGCAGTGAGAACCCCCATTCGGTTTTTAAAAGAAAAATCACTACTGATACCACAGCCACTCGTCTCAACTGTCACAGGAGAAAATTGTCAAAACACACACAGCTACTTGTCACAAATGACACCATAAAAGCTTGTCATAAATGACACCACAGAAACTACCATGCCAAAATATCACAAATCACACATTAGGCAACAGGACATTAACATATAACATAACACAAGTAACATGCCCCAGGTAATAAGACACAGGTAGCCTGACATAAGCAACATAATACAGGCAACATGATGCAGGTAACATAATCCAGGTGACATGACACAGGTAACCTGATGCAAGTAACATGCCCCAGGTAACCTGACATAGGCAACATGATGCAGGCAACCTGGCACAGGTAACATGTCATAGGTATCATGACACAGGTAACATGATACAGGTAAAATGACACAGGTAACATGACAAAGGTAACAAGATACAGGTAGAATGAAACAGGTAACATTACACAAGTAACGTGGCAGAGGTAACATGATACAGATAAAATGACAGAGGTAACATTACACAAGTAACATGACCCAGGTAATCTGACAAAAGTAAAATGACACAGGTAACCTGACACAGGTAACACAATGCAAGTAACATGACCCAGGTAACATGACTCAGGTAACATGACTCGGGTAATCTGACACATGTAATCTTCTTAAACAGATAATATTATACAGGTAACCTGATGCAGGTAACCTGATGAAGGTAACATGACACAGGATGACTAGGACAGGGCTATTCAACTAAGTTTACCGAGGGGCCACAATCTGAAAAATTAGGATTGTTACAGGCCAGAGGGGAAAACCTTAGCATAAAAAGTAGGGCTGTACCGATTAGTGATTTTCACTATTCGGCCGAATATGAATAGCGGGACCAACTATTCGGCCGAATACAAATACCAATAGTATATCATGATCATCAGGTGTACTGCCGACTGGAGTGGGTGATTATGTCTTGCCACAATCTGCGATCTCCTACAGCATGTATTAGTTTGTGCGCTGACACATCTCCATGCCATGCAACAAGACTTCCAAGAATCTTCTCTCGTCTTCCTCTATCCCTCCTTTCACAGATCTTTCCAGTGGTCACAACATGTTCTATTTTCCCTCTTCTTATAACATGGCCAAAAAATGATGACTTGTCTTCTTATACCATGGCCAAAAAATGATGACTTGTCTTCTCATAACATGGCCAAAAAATGATGACTTGTCCCCTTCTGATGTCTGTGATTAGTTGTCTTCGGGCTCCCACCTCTTTCAAAACCTCTTGGTTGCTTTTTTTAATTTTTGGGGGGCTGTCCAAGGTATTTTATGCATTGTTCTGTACAACCACATCTCTAAGGCCTTAAGAAATTGTTTAGACTGCTTACCGATTGTCCAGGACTCACAATGCATTTCCTGTAAATATAAGTGCTTACTTGATGAGGCTAACAGTTACTATTGTACAGACCACATTTTCGACTTTAAAATTTCAGCCAAAATGTAATCACAACATTACTTATCCGCTGCACCTTCATGAATACAGATGGAGGATCGGTTGCACCTCGAGATAAATACGAAGACCATTTTTAGCACGCTGCGGTTGGCATATTAGGCAGTATGATACACTTTGAGTGTGAAAGAAGGAAAAAACTCTTTTCCTCAGTGGCGAGGAAAGATAATTTAAATTTTCACTTTAAAGTATCTTCATGCCTACTTTAATAATGTCACAATTTATAGCCGACTTTTCTTGATTTTCACCCCTGGCATTCGCACCCAGTTTGAGAATCTCTGCAGTAATGCCTCTGTCGAGTCAGCAGGCAAAGACCTTGCCAGCTGCTGTACCATGCAACCGGGTTGCAGTATCCCCCACTACGACAGACTTAGGCAACAGCAATTGTGTAAATGAGAGAGTTATTTCAGTCCACCGGAGTGTATGCAGAAACGGGCGTAAAGTAACCAATATTCGTATTCGGTCCGACCGCAAGTATTCGACCGAATACCAAATAGTTATTAGGTCCACTATTTGGCCCCGAAGCGAATATTCCGTATAGCCCTAATAGAACGATCATTAATTCAATACAACTTGCAAATGATCCGTGGGCCACTTGCTAGGCCTCCTAGGTTTCGCCTGCGGGCCGCCACTTGAATAGCCCTGCACTAGGAAGATCTACAGGTTATAGTGAGATCTCAAAGTGTATAATTACATAGAGAACAGTCACAAGAATGGGAAGATCTACAGGTAATAGTGAGATATCAAAGTGTATAATTACATAGAGGACAGCTTCAAGAATGGGAAGATATAAGGCAAAAGTGAGATATAAAAGTTTATAAAGACACAGAAAAGTCAAAGTAGTTAAAAATATGCGGAAAAGAGATGAGAGCTACAACCCCACTGAAATAATAAATGATAAGACAGGAAGGCCATTGATAGATCCACCTGAGATAGCAGAAAGATGGAGGGAATACTTCAATGAGCTCTTTAATCCTCTAGGAGATCATCAGGAAAGAACAACTGAAGAGCACAGAGCAACAGTGTTAGAACCACACATACTAATGGATGAAATAGAAAAAGTCATTAAACAGTCTCCCAAATATAAAGCACCAGGAGCTGATAGATTACCAACAGAAATAATTCAAGCAGCAGGTGAAAGCAGCATTAGATGGCTTCACAGAATATTCAATGCAGCATGGGTACAACAAATGGCCCCTATTGATTGGCAACATGCAATAGTTATACCATTGTGGAAGAACAAAGGAAGCAAACGAGAATGCGGTCAAAATCGAGGCATCTCTCTTTTAAGCCATGTTGGCAAAATGTATGCTAAATGTAAGATAAAAGAAACAAGACTGAGACCAGTGATAGAACCACAGCTGGCAGAAGAACAGATGGGATTTAGGAGAAATAGAAGCTGCACAGATGCAATCTTCACACTTAAACAGTTAATAGAAAAGAACATTGAATACAATAAGAACTTATTTGTGGCATTCATAGACCAGAAGAAGGCATTTGACAGAGTCGACAGACAATTATTATGGAAAATAATGGCAAGATATGGAGTAAGCGAACACCACATCGAAGTGTGCAAAAGTTTATACAGGGATTGTAGAAGTGTAGTTAGAATCAATCAGGGAACATCTCATCCTTTCACAGTGACATCTGGAGTAAGACAGGGGTGTGTCTTATCACCACTGCTGTTTATCACCTACATCGACAGTATATGCAAGAATGCCAAGCCCATGAATGAAGATCTTAGTAAGATCAACGAATTACTCTTTGCAGATGACCAGGCCTTGATAGCAGATACAGCCATGAAATTGCAACAACATCTAACATCCATGAATGAAGAATGTAAAACAAATAATATGAGAATCAACACTGAAAAGACAGAAGTAATGTCAATAGGAAAAAAGAAGACAGGTCTAAACATAGCAATAGAATACAAAGGCATTAAACAGGCATCTGAGTTTAAATATCTGGGAACTACATTTACCGAAGATGTGAAATTGGATAAAGAAATTGACATTAGATGCAGTAAAGCAAACCAAGTATTGGGACAGCTAGCCCTTCTCTTACAGCATAAGACAATCCCAATCAGTACAAAGAGACATCTTATTCAAAGCATATTTATTCCAACTCTGTGCTACCAGTGCCAGATATGGTCACTCACAACAAACCATAAAAGAAAATAAGTAACCACGGAAATGAGATGTCTGAGAAGGGCTGTAGAAGTGACCATAAGAGATAAGATCAGGAATGAGATCATAAGAGAACAAGTCGGCACAGAACCAATTCTGGATTACATACAAAGACAGCAAGTGAAATGGTTTGCCCACTTAGAGAGAATGCCTTGTGACACCATACCATACAAAGCATACATGGAAAGATCAGAAGGACGTAGAGCACGGGGTAGACCAAGAACAAGATGGAAGGATAACATCAGAGAAACTCTACAACAGCACGATGTGCCTATGGTCGAGGCAGCCAGAAGAGCTAGAAACAGAACCTTATATCTCCCTCGACACCCACAGCGGTAAAAGAGGAAGTGAAGAAGAAGAAGAAAGACACAGAGGACAGCCACAAGAAAAGGAACACAGAGAGGTAAAAAGGAGATATAAAATGTATAAATACACAGGGGACAGCCAAAAGAAAAGGAACATAGAGAGGTAAAAGGGAGATATAAAAATGTATAAATACACAGGGGACAGCCACAAGGATGGGAAGATATGCAGGTAAAAGGGAGATATAAAAGTGTATTAGACACAAACAATCAAGTCTATGCAAACAACTCAGTGAAAAATGAAAGCAAGTGCAGGTCTATCATGAAGTGCTGGCAGCTACAGATAGAGTGTGTGCTAGGAGGCAAAGTTCATATTCTCTCACAGGCAGTGCACAACACATTCCTGATGAAAGACATCACACAGACCTCAAGCCAAGTAAAGTCATACATCACATAGAACAGAAGCCATGTGACACACAGATCTTAAGCCAGATGAAGTCATACATCACACAGACCAAAAGCCAGACTACACACAGACCTAAAGCCAGATGACACACAGATCTCAATCCAGATGAAGTCATATATCACAGATACCTCAAGCCAGATGACACACAGATCTCAAGCATGGTGAAGTCATACATCACATGGAACTCAAGCCCGGTGAAGTCATACATAACACAGCTCTCATGCCAGGTGAAGTCGTACATCATACAAAACCAATGCCAGGCAAAGCCATTCATCACACAGCGCTTGAGCCAAATAAAGTTACACATCACAGAGAACTCAAGCGAGATGAAGTCATATATCACACAGAACTAAAGCCAGCTGAAGCCATATATCACACATAACCCAAGCCTTGTGAAGCCATACATCGCACAGAAATCAAGCCAGAAAAAGTCATACATCAAAAAGAACGCAAACCAGGTGAAATCAAATATCACACAAACCCCAAGCCAAGTAAGACCACACATCACTCAAGCCTCAAGCCAAGAGAAGCACTACACTACAGCATGCAAAGTGAACAAGAATACAGACATCACACAGACCTATAGACAGATGAAGTCATACATCACACAGAACTCAAGTCAAAGGAAGTCATATATCACACAGACTTTAAGCCAGCTACAGTCATATATCATGTAAAACCCAAGCCAAGTGAGGCCACACATCACTCAAGCCACAAGCCAAGAGAAGCACTACACTACAGCATGCAAAGCGAACAAGAATGAAGACATCAAGAGAAATAAACAACACTAAAGTCTCACCCACCAAAGCTAAAAGGTTCACAATGACGGCGATCTGCTTGGATGAGTCCTGCAAAGGAAGAACTATGCCATCCTTGGTGACCAAACCATCATCACAATCAGGACCACTGCCTTTTGCTGTCACATCTCCACTAACAACACCATTGGTTTCTGTTGCATTGTTACTATTGTTATTGTTAGCACAACCTCGTTTGTTATTGAGCATTACTTGTGAGCATTTTTGGCACACGTGATCTGTTTTGGCACTGGATTTTCGTCCGTTATCTTCACTGGAAGACGTCTGGTTCGGATCAACTTTACCACACTTGCAGGTGTCACTGCTGCCCGTTTCCCAGACTGGGAAGACATGTTTGGACCCTATTTTTCCTTGCCTTGCTTCCATCTCTGCTGCTTCTGGAGTGTCCACAGATAAGGTCAGAACGTTTTTGGTGGACTTGTTGCCAAAGATCTGGGCATTCTTGTTAACATCCTTGTTCAGAGTTTTGTTCGTGAGTGCAGGTTCTGCTGCTGCTGTGTCAGAGTCACCGGCCTCATCTTCTTCCTCTGCTGCTCCAGCAGAGAAACTGATCTGTTGGCAGGCCTTCTGCTTGGAGGTGCTCCGTCGACTCTTCTTTAGTTTGGTCGGTCTGCGGCGCTTGTAGTTCAGAGCCTCTACATTTGGGTTATCTGGATCGAACATGTGACTCTGACGGCAACCCATGGCAACTGAGAAAGCCCCGTCAGCAGATGTGCTGACCTGCCCTGCACAATATGTGGCCTCAAGCAGAACAAGATGGAGTTAAAACTTTAGTGAAATTTTCCAACCAGATACTGGTGTCACTACAGACATATGCTTATGACTGTTTTCTTCTGTGGCTGAACAATGAAGCTAATCCATGGCCATCATTCCTTTTATCACATATCTACACAAAACTGACAAACTTCTTGACATTTGGTACAATTGTATCACTTATAGTTTAAACTATGTCAGGTGAGGTAGGAAAATATTACTAAGTTATGCTTTAGGCAATGGGGAAATATTTACAATTACTAGTCTGACACTATTCTAATTTAGAACTTCTATGTATCATTCTACTCACAGTTATTTAAATGACTTCATAATGAACTCACACTTGTGCAAACATGTATTTTGTAGCCAAAAAAATATACTGAGACCATAGAGAAATCATCACATTTTTTGGCCAGGAAAATTATACTGACCACAGAGAAATCCTCACACAGCAGCACACAATAATTAACACAGCTGAAAGCCACACACTGTAATCATCAACCAAATGTTGATGTATGAATGAACTGGCAAACTGACTGTAACTGCAGGAACTGAGGTGACGGGCCGTGTGTGGCGGTAACAGGCACCAGTTCCTGCATGCAGGGATTTCACATTTTTACTAGCTCCAAGAATGCAGCTACAGATTCTGGTGGTTAGGTGTTCATATCCAGAACGGAGTAGCAATCATTCATCCAAACATGTCAGCCTGCAGACACACAGTGTGTGATGTTTTTACGTAAGCAGGTCTCTGCAGAGCTGAATGGCAACTCTTATGCCAAGAAGTATTGTTGGGTAGAAGATTCACCTTTGGATAAAGAGGCCAAATGCAGTTACTATCACACTTTGTTTCCCACCAGCAGAAGTTTGTGCACTTGTTGAATGTGTGAGCTTATGCCATGGAAGGGACTTGAGGTGAGGTCCAACCTTAGAGAGTGCTGAATGCAGGACAGCTAGGAAACAGCCTGCAATAAGAACCATGTTGGTAAATCTGTGAGAAAGTGCTCACTAGAAGGTGTAATGATCATGAAATTTAGACGGAACACATATTGCACAAACTGACAACCATACAAAATCACCATCTAAGTAACATTCCTTTATAGTGACGTAGTCAGAAAAGTGTTTTCAAGATGGTGGTGTAAACTACACAAGTGATTTTCTTTGTGTTGTCAAAATGGAACAAAAGTGTTAACTGATGTTGATAAAATGTGCAATTAGAAATGATTCCTGAACAGGCCTAGCAAGCTGTCAGAGGGTTTAACTGTTCAAAAGCATATGCTCAAGATAAGAAGAGGTCAGATAAAGGAAAAAAACAAGTCTAGGTATTTGCTTAGTGCTCTAAAAGGCTCGGATTTGTTTTAGACTGTATCCTTCTGTTCCTGTGTATAATGGCCGAGGACTGTCACTGGAGTTATGAAGTTTAGAGTTAAGACTGTGATGACAGCAATAGCCATGTGTCATATAAAGTATTGCCTGTAGCTACACAAATATGACAGCAACAGCTACTTAGTAGTAAAGAATGTAGTTATTAATTAATTATGTCTGTAGCTACAAGAATATAATAGCAACAGCTATTTATCACAGAAAGTAGTTATGTCTGTAGCTACAAGAATATGACAGCAACAGCTATTTATCACAGAAGGTAGTTATTTCAGTAGCTACAAGAATATGACAGCAACAGCTATTTATCATGGAATGTAGTTACTTCTGTGGCCACAAAACGATGACAGCAATAGCTATTGATCAAAGAATGTTGTAACTGTGTAGCTAGACAGCAATAGCTATTGATCAAAGAATGTTGTAAATGTGCAGCTACAAAAGATGCCAGCAAAAACTATTTATCACACAATGTAGTTATGTCTATGTCAAAAAACTGATGGGTGGTACCGCCAGCTAAAGAAGACAAGTGGACAACAAAAAAGTGCATCTTACAATCTAATATATTGCTGATAACAAGAAAGGGTGTGGGGGAGGAAAGGAGGAAGATAAGAAGAGTGAGGAGAAGAAGAAGAGAAGACCTGCAACGTGAGGCCACCTGTTGTAGAAACATCAGACATAAACTTCCAACATTACCAGGCACAAGTGAAACATCAGACATAAACTTCCAACATTACCAGGCACAAGTGAAACAACAGACAAGGTTTTCGTTAAAAAGCCCAGACGATTCAATGGGACAGACAGTTTTGATGTACATGAAATATATCCATTTACAGAATGTCTGAATTTATATCTGTGAGCATCTGTGGCTTGGGCGTTGTGAACGTGTTTCGAAACTCCAAAACACCGGGTTCGATCCAAGCTGTGGGCGACCTGACAGCAGACCGCCTTGTGTTGGTTTCGACGATGGTATCAAGGGTCGACAGTTAAAAGGCAATGGCAAACTACTGAAAGTTAAATTGCCTGGTGACATTACCAACGGCCAAAGAATGCTAAGGCTGATTCTGCAAAGTCCACAAAAGGATTCACAAACATTCAAAAACACTGATAGCTTTGCTAATGAAAGATTCATTTCAATACAGTCAATAAACAGATGACAGGTTCCTCAAAAGAACACACACACACACACTTCGGCACCAACAGACAGAAAGACATCACTATGAAAGTGTCTTTAACAGCCCACAAATTGATGCAAACTGATATACATACTTCGACAACCAACAAACACAAGGATGTTATTATGACCTTGTCTCCAGCAGCCTATAAACATCGCAGATTTCATAAATAACACATACACAAACACACACACAGATATATATATATATATAATTTCGACCACCTAAAGACACACACACACATATATATATATATTTTGACGACATAAAGACACACACACACATATATATATATATATTTTGACTACATAAAGACACACACACACATATATATATATTTCGACCACCTAAAGACACACACACATATATATATATATATATATATATATATATATATATATATATATATTTCGACCACCTAAAGACACACACACACACATATATATATATATTTCGACCACCTAAAGTCACACACACATATATATATGTATATATATATATATATATATATTTCGACCACCTAAAGACACACAGATGCCACTACAAACGTGCTGTTACCAACAGCTCAGAAACTGACGACGGGATCCAGAAAGAAACACAAACAGATGTCACTACGAACGAGCGTGTCTTCAACAGCCTGCAAACTAATGGCAGGTTCTAGAAAGAACACACACTTCGACCACCAACAGAAACAAAGCTGCCACCACCACGAACGTGCCTCCAACAGCCCAGTCAATAGACCCCTGCAGAATTTGCTCTCATCCACACAACTCTACTCCAGTCAACAGATTGTCCCGCGCCCGTCTCTGGTGCTTTCAGTCGTCCAAATGTCAAATCGATACATCGTGACTTGTCTTTGCCAGCGGAGTTTTCTGGGAAGAAGAACGCATACCAGGTTTACTTGTTGAACTTCCAGCGTGTGCCTTTAAGAAGGTTTGTTACTTCATTGGTGTACAAGCCTTCCGTGGTGTCTTCCCTCTCCTCCATCCCCATCCCAGACCTTACTTCTATCCTCTCTAACTACTAACGCATATATATGCATCATAGCATTATCTGTCAGAAAAAGAGAGAGAGAGAGAGAGATACAAAGATTGAGAGATAGAGATACAGTGAGCGAGTGATAAAGCGATACGGAGAGAAAACGCAAAGAGTGTGTGAGAAAGAGATAGAAAGATTAAGACAGATAGAGGCAGAAAGAGATGACGGAAAGAGGGGAAGAGATAGCATAAGCTGGGGGAAGGGAAAAAAAGTCTCGACAGATTACAAAACAGACATGCAGACGTCTAGGGAACCAGGTGTGCCTACAATTAAACAGGGCGTCACTAGAGGGCAGAACTAAGATATGACGAAAGAGAAAAGTCGTCGTTTCCCGACATAAAACTTACTGGATGTATGGCGCTGTGTTTTTAATGAGAGCCACTATATGAGCAATGTGGGCATCATGTCCGGTCGGCCCCCTTAACTTTCCTAACTATCTATTCCTGGTACCCAGTGTCGGCTGGGTTGGTAAGAAGTCTTGAGTTACAAATGCCGGCCCTTACAGAGATTCGAACATGTGACCGGCTGGCCTGCATATAAACATGCTAGCCAGTAGGCCACATGAACACTTCGATGGCAAAACGTTTGTGTTCGGACACATCCGCAGGAGACCTGAGAATCCGCACGATAGCTGTGTGTGTTTGTGTGTCTGTGTCTGCATCTTAAGGTGTCTATGTGTGTTTGTGTGTCTGTGTCTGCATCTTAATGGGTCTATATGTGTCTGTCTGCGTCTGTATGTGTATCATTATGCATCTGTGACACAACCAGACGAAACGCTCATCGCTAAGACTCGATAACGAAGAAGAAGAAGAAAAAGAAAGAAAGAAAGAAAAAAAGAAAGAAGAATAAGAAGAAGAAGTAGAAGAAGAAGAAGAAGAAGAAGAAGAAGAAGAAGAAGAAGAAGAAGAAGAAGAAGAAGAAGAAGAAGAAGAAGAAGAAGAAGAAGAAGAAGAAGAAAAAGAAGAAGAAAAAGAAGAAGAAAAAGAAGAAGAAGAAGAAGAAGAAGAAGAAGAAGAAGAAGAAGAAGAAGAAGAAGAAGAAGAAGAAGAAGAAGAAGAAGAAGAAGGATTAACTTTCCATGTGGCAATATATTCTAGTAAACAGACGGTATGTGAAGACACAGGATGCTAAGCGTGCTTGTGTTGTCCCACACATACGGGTCAGCACAATGTCAATAGTCCTCGTGATGTCCGCCACGTACGATGCAGCTCAACGCCACACGTCCTGGTCATGTTGCATATATATGACACAGGACCACGTCAAACGTCCTCGTTATGTCTCCCACATACGACACGGGAGGACACCACAATGCCCTTGTGAAGTCCCACACGAGTTGTAGCGTGA